ATGTGGGCTGGGGAATCTGGAACCAAGATTTGGGGTTACTGGGTAACAATAAAGCCACAGGGGACAGGTAAATTCCCTGCTGCCTCACCCATCTTTCCTCTTTGGGGGACTTACTAAGGATCCCAGGCCTTAGGTTATAGCACACATAGAATAACATGGCTGGGAAGGGAGTGTGGAGGGATTTTCTTTCCTGGATTTGAATGAGAAGGTATGTGCACGTGCATAAGAACACATATGGACACTAAGATATGTATCTTTCATTATGAAATGCCCAAGGACTCACTCAGCACTGAGCTGGGACCTTTGCATATGCCTCAGGAGTAAGACTGTAAGTAACAGAGACTCAAACTAACAATGATGTAAAGAAATAGGGTTTATTTTTTCTCACATTACAAGAGCAGGTTTACCTGCTCAGTGATGCCATCAGGAACCCAGACTCTTTCTTTTTGCTCCGATATCCTTAGCATATTAGCCTTTATCTTTCTTGCCTCAAGGTCTCTAGAGAGTGAGAACTCCAAGGATCTCATCCACAGGGGAAAAGAAGACTATGTCTTCCCCTTTTTCAAGAAAGCAAAAAATTCTCCACATCCTCTCTCCTCTCCAGTCTTTTGCTTAGGCCTCATTGGCCAACATTGGGTCACATGACCGCTCCTAGCTACAAGGAAGGGAGTCCATGAGAGCATGGAACAGGATTTCCATGATTGGCACAGAACGGTGGTTCTCAACCTCGGCTCTCTTCTCAGAGATTCTGACTCTGTTGGTCAGGGTTGGGGCTTGACATTGGTATTTATTAAATTCTCCAAAAACCTAGGATTTAAAAAAAAACTGTAATTGCTTTTTACTACAGTATGGCGCCAACTCAAGTAATCATCTTCAACCAAACCCACCCTAGGTTCTGGACAAGCCACCTTATTGTACTGACTGGGATTCTCTAGCTTATCCTGTAGCCCCTGCTCCCTTTGGAACTGATTATATAGGTGATTAATTAGTACATTTGTAGGTCATTTGTTAGTGAATTTGCAGTTAGTAACCGGTTAGCTAATCAGCTGGCTAACTAATAGAATGGTTAGTTGGCCTTTCCTCTTGTTTATGTGTCTGGCACATAGTAAGTACTTGATAAATATTTCTTTGGGTGAATGAATCCATAAAATGGAGATAAAACGGAGTTAATACCGCATCAAATGAGATAGTAGCTATGAACTTTGTAAATGATAGAACACTGTAAAGATATAAGAATAAACATTTACATGAGAAGCTACTTTAAAATTTAGGGCCAGAGTAAAGTTTTTCCCCCCATCCTTCACCAAGGAAATAGTGTTTCCACATTTCTGAAATGGAGAACTACCATTTTGCCCTGTTGCTAGTAAGCAGATTTCTCTCTCAATTATAGCAACTTTGTCAACACTTAGCGATAGCATATATTCTTTCTCCTTTTTCCTTGACCCTACTTTGTCTTTCTACTTGTATTTTTATTAGATTATTTTGGTTATAAACCACCTCAAGCCTTTTTGGGAAAGAGGTGGGGTAAAATTAATTTTTAAAATACTTGGGAACTAACCTTTATTATCTACCTACCACATGCCAGGCATTTCCATGTATTGACTTAGCCAAATCTCACAAATAGCTAGTAGGTTGGTGCGATTATCCCCATTTTATGTAGGTGTCAAGGGACTTGCTCAAGGTCATACAGCTGCTAAGATTTCAGAACCAGATTTCAAAACCAAGGCCAGTCTGACACCAAATCTGAGACCTTTCCCCTAAGCAACCCAAGTTGGTGTGATAGATGCTTGGTTATGGTCAACTATTTACTTAGCTAGTTGAGGAGAGTTTTTGTACTTTGAACTCCTCAAATAAGTCTTGGGGGAAAAATTGGTCTTTTTCCTTTCGCCACAGGCCATTTATCAACAAATACTATACTTCATCAATTGTATGCTATTCTATTATTTTATGTACCACTAAGAAAAAAAAAACCCTGCTACTTAAACTATGATACACCATTGATGTTAAGATGCATCCTAATTTCAGAGATGTCAAAATGTGAAAAATGTGTGTCTTAGAATCAACAAAATAATGTATTCCATTCTACTAATGGAGAATTTGTGTACATAACCTCCCCTCTTTTCTTGCTCAATTGCTCACTGGTTTGCCCCTTCCTTTTCTTATTTATTTATTTATTTTATTTACTTATTTTTGGCTGTGTTGGGTCTTCGTTGCTGCGCGCGGGCTTTCTTTAGTTGCGGCGAGCAGGGGCTACTCTCTGTTGCAGTGCGCGGGTTTCTCATCGCGGTGACTTCTCTCGTTGTGGAGCACAGCCTCTAGGTGCACGGGCTTCAGTAGTTGCGACATGCAGGCTCAGTAGTTGTGGCGCACAGGCTTAGTTGCTCCGCGGCATGTAGGATCTTCCTGGACTAGGGATCGAACCTGTGTCCCCTGCATTGGCAGGCGGATTCTCAACTACTGCACCACCAGGGAAACCCCCCCACCCCTTCCTTTTCATCACCCAAACCTTGCCTGTCTCTTCAATATCGCATTTCTCCACATCATCATGAACTGTCAGTTTTGATTTGGATTATCTCGCGTGAGTCTCCAGAAAGCCTTGCACTCATAGGAGGTTTCCACTCTAGTTTTTTTAAAGAGCTACCTTAGATGATCTTATTATGAACTTCCTCCAGTGGCTGTCATCAAACTCTTTCCAGAGTCTGGCCTAAGTCTAGTTTTCCCATGGTAACTGGTGATTCACTGCCCTCCCTGTTCACCATTCCACACAGTAGTTGGTTGGTCTGTACACTATTTACTTGCAAGGGATTTCCCTCCAGGCTGTTGGAGAGGGCATGGGAGGGGGCTTGGGTGCAGAAGTGGGCATGTCATCCAGTTCTCCCTAACACAGGAAACATGACTCCCCAGGCGTCTCCTGAAACACCAGGGCCTTCCCTTTCTCCACACCAGGAGGAGGCAGGGTTGGGGGAGGATTCAGCTTCTCCACCCCTCTTAGACCTTACTTCCCCTTCCTGGTTTGGGACTCCATGAGACAAGTCATGAAGGGAAGATGAGGCAGTGGGATCTGGTACTGCTGGGGGAGATGAAGATTCTTGAGCAGTGGGCCCTTGTGGAGCTGGGTTACAGGCTCCTGACAGCAGCAGCTGGCTTTTCTGAGGTGGTGTTCTGCTTCCCCCTTTGTGTGCAGGGTTCTGGAGAAAGCACTGATTCTGGCTTTCCATTTCCTAGCATTATAAAAGGGACAGAGCCATCCAGGATTTTCCCTGTCCTGTTCCCGTCAATCTGATTTTGAGGTCAGAATCTGGAAAGGAACAGAGGCTGATTGGAGAGATTGGGACACCATGGAGGGAGGGATGCAGCCCATGCTGAGAAGTGAGGGGCTAATCTGGGAATCCTATTGACAGAGGACTCTGGGGCCTTTGCAGATGGGTGGGCAGGCAGACCTATCCTGGCCCCAGTGTTCTGGGCATGTTACAGGCTGTGAGGCTTGGGCATGGGCTGAGGTCCACATGGGTCTGTGTGCCTGTGCAGCTGCAGGAGCCTGTGGGGAGGTACAGTCAGACACAGAGAAATAGAGATAAGTGAGACAGAGGGAATCAGAGGCCGGACCGGGAGGTCCAGGTGGCTGAGGGGCACTCACTTTCAGAGGCACCTTGGCTGTCTGGCTCAGTGCGAAGCCGCCTGGGCTTCCTAGACTCGAGCAGGCACTGGGCTTCCTCTTCAGCCCTCCGAGATCTCGGGGAGCTGCTGGCAGAGTCCTGGCCCTGGTCCGCAGTTTCCCCAAGAGGCTCTGCCAAGCCTTGGCACCTCGGAGCCTGGGCCTGGGCTCGGATTCAGGCCGGCGCCGCACCTCCCCGCCGCTGCTGCTGCCGCCGCCGCCGCCGCCGCCGCCGCCGCCGCCGCCGCTCCAGGCCGGACCGCCGGCCTCCTCCCCGCCCTAGCGCACGCAGGGCCTGCCCTAACCCGTGACCCCCGCGGTCGACTCCAGCGCCCGCTGCCCGCTGGGCCCGGACGAGCGCGGGCCGGTGAGCAGCGGAGTCGGTCCCAGACGAGGCCCGGCCCGGCTGTCGCGAGAGGGCCCGGAACCCGACAGCAGGAGCGAGCGCGGGCCGGCGCGCGGAGGTGTGAGAATGTGAGGCGGGCAAGGTCGGGAGCCACCGTGCGGGTTGGTGGGGCGCGTGTGCGCTGTGGCCGCCGAGCGGGCTCACGAATAAAGCGGGCACGGCCGGGAGCGGGCTCGGACCGCGGTGCGTGCGGGCAGGCGGGCCCCGCGGCCTGCGGCTCGGCGGAGGGCGGCCGTCTGGAAGTGGGCCCCGGCCCCGCGGGCCCGGCGTGCGGCGACCCAGCTTGCGGGCCGCGCCGCCGCCCCTGGCCGGCCGTTCCGGTTGTCGAGCCTCGGGTGGGAGCCGCGCGGCGCCGCCAGGCCGCTCGCCCTCTCTCCCCCCCCCCCCCTAATCTAAACCATGCGGGCTCCCACCCCGAGCCGGCCGGCGGGGCCCGAGGGCCGCGGAGAGGGCACCGGGCCGCGCGCTGGTGGAGCGGCAGCCCACTCCGAGCTCGGGGTCCCCGGACCATGGAGCCAGGGGACCCTCGAGCCCCCTCCCCGGGGGGCGGCGGGCGCGGACTGATTGACAGCAGCGACGTCAGCGCGGGGAGGGGGGTGCGGCCCCGGAGGGAGGGAGGGAAGGAGAGGAGGGAGCTGAGGCCCCAAAGTGCAGCCTCGGAGATCAAGGGCCCGCTCCAGAACCGGGATGTGTCCGGCCACGAGGGCGCGGCGGGCAGCGGAACCCTGACCCAGCTGCCCCGAGTCGGAGTCCCGGCTGACCCGGGCTCCTCGGACCCGAGCCTGCAGCGGACCTCGGGCCGCAGGCGCCAACGCATGCGGCAGCGCAGTTAGGGTGAGTGAGGGTCCCGGCGTGGGTGGGGGTGAGTCGGGAGTGCGGGAGAGGGGCAACCCCGAAACCAGGGAGGATGAGCTGGAAAGGGGGAGAGTAACAGGACCTGGGTAAGAACCTCGGGGACAGTCAAGGCGGCAAGAGGGCGGCGAGAAGAGTTTCTAATCCGGCTGCCGCCTCGCCCGACTCCAATCGGTCGGAGCTCGAGCCCTTCTCTCCTCCTAGTAACCGGACGAATTGGGTCTAAGGGCCCAAGAACATAGAAACGACCGCGCCAACGCCAAAGGAACAAGGTTAGGACGAGACAAGTGGAGCGGTGGCCTTGAAATTGGTGTTTGAAGAATAAGAAAGGCCAAGGAGGAGGGCCCAGGTACTTGGCGAATATCGATGTGGAAATGTTCGTGATCAGAACACTAGACTACAGTGCCTTTGATGCAACAGGGTCGTCAAAATTAAAGCAAGGAGCATACTATATAAATAATGATCCATGATCAAGAATTATCAAAATATGAGCAATTACCCAAAAAGCAGGGCTAAGCGGCATAACTAATACAGTACTCGGACTTTAAAACAACAATAAAATAATAGTCACTCTCAAAACCAAGTGAAAATTGTAATCACAAATTTGAGAGAATCATAGACAGTGATGGAACAATGTGATAAGAACTATTGTATTAAAATCAATAGAATAAGAAATAGTAATAGTGTAAAAATGATAAAACTGTAGGGAAAAGGTGAACAATGAAAATACTAGTAAGGGAAATACTAATATTAGTAGTATTGACAGAATACTATCATATAACTTATTATTGATACTATAGTGAATTATTAAAATAAATGTTAACCAAAATCTTAAGAGCAATAGTAATATAAATAAAGACAGCAACAAGAATTACTGGAGTAATATGACAATTTATGACCAAGGTTTTAATAGTCCCAACAACATTATAAATAATGGTAGAGTAATAAGTATTGTACCAATGTGATGAGAAAACAGAGTATTAAGAGCTAAAACAATATTACAAATTATGACAAAGTAACAAGAAGTAATGATGCATTGAAAAATAAGTAGCGAATTAAGATCCATAACATTACAAATAATGACAAAGTAACAAGATATTGTAACGATGTGATGAAGAATACCCGGAGTATTATGAACAATCCTAACAAAACAAATAATGGTAAAATAACGAGAAGTATTATAAGGATGTGAAGGAAATGCACGTGAATATTGAGAACAATAATACTACAAGTTATGGTAAATAAATTACTGAAACTGTGACAAAGTACAAACAGACTGAGGAGGCAGCACGGAAACATTTCAGGGATACAGAGTAAAAATAAAAATAATGAGAGATTAACGTGACCTATTGGAAGACTATATTTAATAATTGCCTAGGTATTAGTAATAGTATTACGAATGTGCCAGGAGGCCCTAGAATGATGGAGCAGTGACAGGAAAGCAATAACAACATATTTGATAATGATGAATTAACAAATCAAACCAGTCCTTTAACCATACAGTATTAAAAATAACATGTACTAATAGCTTGTGTGATAGAATAAGTAGTCTTAATGTTATTGAATTGACCAGAATACTACTCTGATAATAGAGATAATTAAAATAGTATAAAAGATTAACAATTCCCCCAGTGCTAGAAAAGTATCACCAGTAATCTAGAAATGAAAAGAAAAATGCTGTTCTTCTTAAAAAAACGAGTCAACTGAAAGTGACGGACCCGAGCGCACAGGGCGCGGAGCCGGCCGGCCGCGTCCGCCGAGGGCTCCAGAAGAAGGGCGAGCGCGGGCCGCGCACCCCGACTGGTGCGGGACCCGCTCTACTGGCGTCCCAGCGCGCCGGGGCTCGGGGTCCGACGGGACCGGACAGCGGGGATGGCCGTGCCGGGCGGGAAGAAAAAGGAACGAGCGGGGAGCTCCAGCGAAGGCGAATCTTCGCGATGTCGGGATGTGGCTGCGTGTCGGAGAGAAAAGGAAGAGGCGAACCTCGAGTTGGGGAGTGAAAGCACAACGCAGCCCTTGTCCCGCGTGGGAGCGGCGGGACTGGCGTCAGTGGACGCCGGCCGCGGATGTGCTCAGCACCGGGCAGGACTGAGAGCGCGCGGCGCAAGTCGCGGGGAGCCGCTGCACAGCTCCGGGTGTGACAAGTGCCCGCAGAGGACCTAGTGGCCAAGACAGCATCGGGCCAGGCGGCCCCTCCTGGCCCCGCGGGCCGCAGCATCCGGACCAGCGGATCGCGGGTGCCCATCCCGGCTGACCCCAGATATACTCGGAACCAGCGCGTTGGGCCAGAGCGCACAACTACCCCCGTTGCACAATGTCCCCTTGCCTGGGGTCTCCTGGGTTTCCAGGCTCGGCCCCGGAACCCGCGTGTGGCCCAAGGCCGGTGCTGGCATTGGCCATGCCCGGCGAGTCTTCCTCCTCAGTGCCTGTGGCTGGAGGACCGACCCGCCTGTCAGCCTTATCTTTATGGGCTTTTCCCAGCCCCAACTGGCCCCGGCCCCTTTTTATCTCCTCGGTTGCACTTGGCTTGTTTACTTTGTGAGGCCCTGGGAGCCCATGTCTAGGCCTGGGATGGGAGGCCAATGGTGAGGGGCCTGGGCCTTGGAATGCCCAGGGAGAGCCAGGAGAGGACAGAAAGAAGATAGGGGGAGAAAGAGGGAACATTCAGCTGCAAGAAAGGCAGCCAGACATTTAGAAAGCCTCCCCAGAACTTGCCCAGATCCAAATGAAGGGAGAAGAGCTAGGAGGTGGAAAGGAGAAGCAGGGATAATGCAGGGTTGCACCCACGATGAGGCAGGACAGGCAGGTCCTTGCAGGCGGGACTCTCATCCTGATATCCCAGGACCAGCTTCCAGAAGGAAGCAGGCACATGAGCAGGCGTGTGAATAGTCCTAGTCGCTTGGGGAAGGGTAGCTGTGCCCTGGGGCAGGACTAGGCTGTGCCTGTCAACTGGACTCAACTGGCCTGGTCCTTAGCTGGGAAGGGTCTGAGTCCTTTGCCTCAAAGCAGAGCCCTTTGAAGCTAAAATCTAAAATGTGAGTGAGTGAGCCAGCCAGTGTGCATGTGAGGGCAAGGCTGGGGTGGCCCCTGGCTGAGTTCGGGGCCTGAATCAGAGTGGCCCTAGGAAAATGTGGCTACTTGGGTGACTTGTAGGCTATGAGAAGGTGCTGTGTCTGTGTGTGAGGACGTGGGTGCCTGCGTGGGTGCCACACAGGTATCTGAGGGAGTGGGAACGTACAGGAAGGAAAACCTTTGGTTCAGGAAGCCTCTACCTGACTGCTGTCTGAGGGAATGGGTTTGGGCAGATGAGTGACCAGGGGCCTGAGAGGCCGCTCAGCCGAAGGCCCTCTCTGCCACTGTGGAGCCCTGGGAACCCAGGCCCTGCCCTCCTGGGCTGACTCTCCTCTCCTCCCTACCCAGAAGGTGTCCTGGCTGCCCTGGGCCAAGAGTGAGCCTGGACCCCAGTTATTAGGAAGAGACGAAAAAGACCTAGGCTTCAGGCTCCAGGGTCCACTGGAGCCCAGCAGGAGGAGGCACTGGGGGTGCAGCTGGGGCAATGCTGAGAGGGCGGTCCTTCCCCCAGACCTACTCGTCACACAGCCCCACACCCAGGGCAGGAGGACCTGGAACCGCACACGAACCCTCCCAGGTCCAGACCCAGAGGGAGGAGGCGAGGGTCCTGCCCGCGCTATTCTCCCTCCTCCAGCTCAGGAGGGGGCGGGGTCCACGTGCACCAGGGCGGCCTCCCAGCAGTGCCCGAAGCACCCTCCACCGCCACCCGCGGCTCAGCTCCAGGGCTGCCGGGTCTCAGGCGCGTGTGGACATGGGCATATGACTCGCGTGTGCTGTGCCCACAGGAGATGCTGCAGGATAAGGGCCTGTCGGAGAGCGAGGAGGCCTTCCGGGCCCCGGGCTCGGTGCTCGGCGAGGCCAGCGCCGCCAACGCCGCCAACGCCCCCGAGCCCGCGCTGGCCGCGCCGGGCCTCAGCGGAGCCGCGCTTGGCAGCCCCCCGGGCCCCGGCGCCGACATCGCCACCGCTGCCGCCGCCGAGCAGGTAGGGCCGGGCCGGGCAGGCCGTCGGGTGGAGGTCGGGCGTCGGTTTGTCTGCAGGGCCGCCAGTGTCTGTCAACCGCCCCGCTGCGGGCAGGACTGTCTGCCTGTTCGCGCTCCCCTGGGCAGGGCTCGCCTTCTGCCCTTCGTCCTTCCTCCACCTCGAGCCCTTGAGGCTGCTCTGAGACAGGCCGGGGAGGGGAGCCCGCGGCGGAGCGAGCCCAGGAAAACAGTCCAGCTCCGACGACCCTGAGAGGGCGGGGACAAAAGCCTGGGACCAGGCGGGGTGAATAGCCCCTGGCCGGGTGCTTGCGGGAGCCGCCACCGAGCTCCGAGGCCGAGGGGACACCACCGTGACCATGTGCACGCCCTCTGCCTGTGTGGATCTGCAGGAGGTGTTTGCGGGTGCGCGCCTCTGGCCGAGGGTGTGTGTGCCCATCCTGTGTTGGTGTGTCCGCCCGCAAGACTGTGGCTATGTCGGGCCACGTGCAGTGTTTATGTTTGTGTAAGAGTGTGTCATCTACCCTGGCACGGTCGGTTAGTGTGTCCTCTGCGGGCCCGTCTGTAGATGCAGCTCCGAAGAAGGGGATTTCAGCCACTGATTAAATTTTTAAAAATTCACCAATGGTACAGAATAATTTTTTGAAACGACATCTCGAGGCGTGGGCACCTGGGGCTGGCAGTGTCCTGCATGGTCCCTTGGGTCTGTGTTCCCCTTTCTGATGGCTCCGCATGGAGCCGTGGGCAGGGCGACACAAGTCCCCTCTCTCCCATCCCTAGACTATCGAGAACATCAAGGTGGGCCTGCATGAGAAGGAGCTCTGGAAGAAGTTTCACGAGGCGGGCACCGAGATGATCATCACCAAGGCGGGCAGGTCAGCGCTGGTTTTACTTCGGGGGTGGGGATGACGGATGGGGGCAGTGGGGAGCCCCAGGGGCTCCCTCAGCAGTCCTCTCGGTCTTCAGCCCAGGGGGCGACTGGAGTCCCCTTCGCCATTCTGGCCTTAGCTCCAAGTCCCGCCACAGCATCAGAACTGACCTCGGAAGCCCGCAGGGGGCTACATCACAATCGAGAGGCACGGGATGGAGGGAGGGGCGGGGCAGTGATATGCAAATGAAACGCAAACAGGGTCGCGTTGCTGGAGGTCCCCACTCCAGCACTTTTGGCCCCTGGGGGGCTGCTTTGTCCTCCTCCTTTTGGGGAGCTGCTGGGTTTCTCAGGATTGTATTGACTGGGGACCCGGAGATGCCCCTCAACAGACTGAGGAAAGGGTAATGGGACCATGTTTTCCTATTTCCATTGCTTTTCCCGGGGCAGCTCGAACTCCAAGCCTCTCATCCCACGGGCGCCGCTCCGCCAGTTGCCAGCACCCTCCTCGGCCAAGGGGAAGGCACCGTTGGGCCCTGTGTGTGTGTTGTTCGGGGAGTAGCCCTCGGGTGGCTGCCAGAGAGGGATGATTTATAAAGTGGAACCATCTTTAAAATGTGCTGGTGTCTGTGGGAGAGAGCCTGGAGGAGAGGTAAAGAGGAGGAAGATGCAGAACGGGGCATGATGGAGAGATTCGCTGGGGCGGTGCACCCCGGGTGGGGTTGGAATCGCAAGGAGAGCGGTTACCAGGTGAAGGGAGATGGCTGCAGATGGAGAAGCTGGAAGGTTCAGGTTCAGGTTCAGAAACGTTCTCCCCCCTACTCTGCCTCCTCCACAAACTCACACTGGATTTTGGTTCCCGGGGTACAGTTTAGGTGTGAAAATGTCCCTTTATCTGACAGTGGACCCATAGTTGGGTTTTCTGAGGAATAAGATGGTGACGCTTCAAGGGCCGGGGATGGGGAGTCAGACCTGGTGGGGGGGCAGGCTACCCGTTCCGCTCACCTACTTCCATCTGTGCAACCCTCAGGCCAGGTACTTTAGAGTCTATGCCCTTTCCTCATCTCCATCTGTAAAATAATAGGTTTTTCTTTATACAGTTGCATGTAAAGCCCTTAGCACAGCTCCTGGCACATGTAAGCACACAATAAATGCTAGCGAATACTGTTCATCATAATTAGAGAAATGTCTGGCATTTACTCAGCGTTTTGTTCTACTTTTTAGAGAGCTCTGCTGAGCTGCTTAGGGAATGATGGGTCAGAGGAAACAAAAAGCCGGCAGTTTGCTGGGTCCTTCCAGTCTGCTTACTGAGAGGCCTTGCAAATTTTCCTTTGTTTTGTTGGGGGAGGGGGTCTGGGCACTCGGCTGCCCTCTTGCCTAAGTCAGGGAGGTGGCAGGGCCACCCAGGGCCTCTATCGGGGGAAGGAACAAGGAAATGTCAGGACTGGAGTTTGCTGCATTTTGGGGATGGGGAACCCAGGATGCACTGGGGAACCTGGTGGGGGAACAGTCGTTGAGGACAGTGGGGATCAGGTGTCACAAGGCCTGCCTCTTCCCAGTTGTGTGCACTTGGGCTAGTCCCCAAGCTTCCTGTGGCTCAGAGGTGTCAGGTAAAACAGGATGGTGACTGTCGACCTACCTGCCATCCTTCCTTTTTCAGTTACTCTGAGACTCAAACCAGGGACCTTATGAGCAGTGCTTGGTAAATTGTTGAGTGGATTATAGATGTGAAGAGGGGATTTATTTCTTGTTACTGCTGGGATGTAGAGAAGAAAAGAAGAGAAGGATCCAGAACTTCCATCTTGAGGCAGCAGAAATAACCTTGTCTCTTGAAAATGAACCAGCATGTTCTTTGGGCATGTGTGGCCCCTGCCATTTTAAACAAGGCATTTGTGATTCTCCTCAGTGGGGTTTCCTGCACCTGCATGGGTCCTCCTCCCTCCCTTCCCCAACACACATACGCGAGCGCACACATGCGCGCACACACACACACTTCCAGAGGTGACGGGCTTCAAGCAGGTATTTGTGCCTGATCCTAGTGACAGAAGAGGCACATCCCTAGAGGCTTAGAGGCAGGCCTCAGGGAATGATGATAATAATTTTTAAATGACCATGACGATGTTGGCCCATTAGGGATTCATCGCAGTCCTTCCCTGGCAGAAAGTTATCCTTGCACCAGGTCTAGTCCTTAGGAAAATCACTAGCCTTATCCCCTGCCTGCACGGTTCTCACAGACCCTTTTTCCTCCTGCATAGCTGCCCACTGGCTTCAGAGACAACTTTCACCCCTCTGACCCCGTGTCCCCCTCCTCCCCGCTGCCTCCTTCCCATGGCAGCCTTGGAATGCACTGTGCTTTGCTCGGGCTTGTGGCCCTTCAGCGTCCTGTCCAATGCCTCTCCCTGTCCTCTTCTTTGTGTCTCTACCATCAACTTCCTGGGACACTTCTATTTCTCAGCAGATGGCCTGGACATTTCTCCTGAACCTTGAATCACAGATTCCTAGACCGCTTGAGCTGGAGGAGAACCAAGAGAACATAAACCCAGCCCCTGAGAAGGGAAGGCGTTTGGCCCTTGCCCATAGAAGCAGGGTTAGGCAGCTGCCAGGTCTACACAAGCCGAGCAATGATGCCCCTCCCCCCAGAACAAACCCCTAACTTTGAGAAATTCCCTTGATTGCTTGTTTATGGGGGCCTGCGCAAGGTGGAGTTGTTGCTCTGCCCTAGAGACCCTGGCTGGTTAGGGGCATGATTGCTCTCTGGTTGGCCCGTGGAGGCATGGTGGGGGTGGGGTGGGGGGGGCGGGGGCTGGAGAAAAGGAGCCCGAATGTTCTCAAGCCAGTATGAGTCCTTAGTCACAAGCCTCGGCCTTAAGCCCTTGAAGAGCTGAAGGCCAAAGGAAAGAAGGGTCCCCTTCATTGGATAGCGATTTTGAATTCTCAAACAACTTGAGCTGGTGAATAACATGCCAGCCGCAGTTCAAGCCATCAATTTCTGAATGCTCGGGGTCCCCCGATGTCCGGTATATAATGGGGCCACAGCCTTCCCTAGCCAGTCTCTGTCTCTCTTAGGCCCCTGCACCCAGAGAGTTTATGCCCTTAACTGCAGAGAACAGAGCCCTCTCTGCTTCCTCACATCCCTGCCAAGCTTGATACATGTGAGAAACTGCATTTTCTCCCAAACACAGATAAAAGTGAGCTCTACAAAATTTAAATATAAACCTCCCCAATATGAAAATTTCCTAACCGTCTGACTGCTCTACTCCTAGGTCATGGTTTTGCCACCAGATAAATCTCAGTGCTATCAGCCTTCATAGCCTGTTGAGTTCAATGTTGCTTGTGTTAGTGACAGTGAATTTGTGTTTGAAAAATGAACTACTGATGAGAACTCCTGTTGAACCTGTATTGTTTGTTATTCTGAGGCAAGGATTTGGCCCGGCTTAATCCGGGGCTTCAAAGCCAGTTGCCCTTGCTCTGTATACAGAGCGTCAGAGCCCAGGGGCGTGGGTGATAAGAGAAGTAAGGGTTGAAGACACTGGGAAAGTGGGTTGGGGAGAGAGTGCTTTGATCTCTTTCTAAAGTATTTTCTGAAAGCAAAAGTCTATCAGAAGGAAGTGTCTTCAAAAAAATCTGAGAGAAGCAACTGGCCTTCCAAAACAGCATCCATTCCACACACCCTCTATCCTGCCCCCCACCTCAGGGAAAGTATTTCTTAAAAATGCTTTGAGTGAAGTAGAAAATTCTGTGTGTGTGTAAAGTGGAAATAAATTACATAGCTCTGTCATTGCTCTCAGAAACCATTTGGCCACAAAAGCTTTGGTCTCAGTATAGACGGCACCCCTACCTCCCACCCCCAAACTTAGCCTTAGTTGCTAGGCCCTGGCCTCTTTCCAACACACCCAGAATTCTTCTTTAAGACCCCAAGACACTAGGGATAGAAAATGGATGGGGTTTTCTGTGGACCCCTACCCTTTCCTGCATCCCTTTCCTTTCAAACTCTGGCCTCCACGGGCCTCTGTATGTGTTTATGTACACATATTTATGATATATACACACACATATAATTTTTTAATATCAATGTTATTGAAGTGGAACATTTCTGCAGAAAAGTGAACAAATCTTGATTGTACAGCTCTACAGACTTTCACAAAATGAACACACTGGTGTTAGCACCACCCAGATAAAGAAACAGCACGTTACCGGCCCCCAGAATCCCTCTTGTCTGCCCTCCCAGTCACCGCCTCTCCCCACCTCGAATCCCCTCTCCAGACTTCTCACCCCTTCGATTTGGTTTTGCACCTACATTTCAGGGAAGGCACATATAGCCGCTCCTGGGGTTCCGGATCCCCCTGAGGAAGCCGGGGGTGTGGTGGATTTGGGGTTGGGGGGCTCTGCTAACTGGAGAGAATCTGGTGGGTCCCCTCGGTTCGTTCTTTCCTGCCCCCCACCCCCATGGATTGGTGGGGAGTGAATAGGTCAGCACCTTGAATTTGGCCACCGCTTTGGCCCGGGACCGGGCGCCCCGCGGCTCTCTGAGCCCAGTTGAAACTTACTTGGCCTCTCTCTCAGTGCGTCTTTACGGGTTTGTTGCCAAAATCAAAATGCCCCAAACCCTTGCCCGGCGCCCCGCAAGCCTCCAACACCGAGAAACGTCCAAGGAAGCTTATCTTAGCAGTTCATTCTAAAACCATTTCCGAGTATGAAGTAGATAAGGCCCCACGCCCGCACCCTTTCAGAGCCTGTTTCATGATCAGAGGAGAGACCCCCCCCCGGCTTTCATCTCCTCCCAGGGCCGGCAGGGCCGGCGGCTTGTTTATTCCCTGGCGGAGCAGTTTCCGCGGGGGCCGGGAGCGCCCCAGATGCCTGCGGACCAGGAGTCCGAGGCGGGCGGGGAACCAGAGCCGGGAGAGGGCGCCAGGGCCGCAGAGAGAAGGCACGCAGGGCACGGGGAAGGGGTGCGGAGGGGCGCGCCGAGCAGGGGTCTGGGTGGCTGCCGGGTGTTGAGGACAGGGAGCCAGGGCTTCACGGCCACCAGCGCTGGCCGGTGGCCCGGCTGAGTGGGATACGGGCTGCGCAGTCACTACTTCCCTGCTTGGCCCTCCCTCCCTGTCCCACTGAGGTGTTCACTTCCGCCCCCCCCATAGGTGATGGTTTTCAGGTACATTTTCTTTTGGTCCTAAATCACAGAAGCAATTTACAACTCACTCTATGGTTTCATCTGTTTCAATAGAGAAGACCTTTACAGGGCGGGGTGAGCCCAGAGGAAGCCACAGCTCCCAGTTCAGCTTCCTGAGGCCTGCCCTCCTGGTGAACACTCCCATGCCAGGCCTCTCGGCTCCAACCTTGGACCCTCTGGAACCAAGGGCAGATGCCCTCAGCTTGGGCAGGAGGCCTGCAAGGCTGGAGGAGTGTGTGCTTCAGCTGCACACATAGCCTTTCCCGCACACCAGGCAGGACCTTCATCCTCTGGAGCCCGCTAGGTGGGGAAATGATAGTGCCCAGGGTCCCCACTGGGTGTGTTCTCCATGGCCCAGAAGGAGCCACCAAACTGGATGCTAACAGAGACGGAGATACCTGTCTCCATGAAGGCAGCGGTGCTCACCTGGCCAGCTCAGGCCAGCTCAGTCTGGAACAGAGGACTTTTGAGCTCCCCATTCAAACCACAGATCTCATCGTCCCTCCTGATTTCTGAGGGCAGTTGCCCTAGGAAGAGGGAAAGGCAGGGCAGTGGCTAGGAGACACCTTCCTTCCCTGCCCCAACTTCCTTAAAACCTCCTGGAGGCTGTTATCCGTCAGGAATCTGGTCCACGGTCAGCTTCCAGGAGAGGCCAAATCACGGGACACCAGCCCCATGCCTTGGGAGGCCGAGGACAGGCTCCTTGCCAGCCTTCTCAAAAGCACTAGTCATGTCCGCCTGGCCTCCTGAGCTGCTGAGGTGAAGTACGGTAGGGGGTAGAAGGGCAAGGGCAGGACCCCGTACCCCGCTCTCAGCCTAGGTTATGAAGACCGTTGAAGTGGCAGCGAGCAGTTTTCTCCTGGCCCCCTTTGTGGACGCTGGCTGAGGGGAGCGGGGGGAAGCTGTGCCTGCCCTCTGCTGTCGCCACCTGGAGTGATTATAGGAGAAGCAGGCTGAGTGCAGGGCACTGGTACCAGGCCAACCCTAAGCCCAGCCAGGGCTGCCCCACTCTGTGGCTGTTTCTGTGGCAGTTACAAAATGATAGCCTGCAGGGGACGGGGTTCTTGGCCTTCCCCCGGGGAGGCGGGAGCTGAGCTAACTGCTGCCTCCCTCTCCTTCAGCCCGAGGCCACCTGGAGAGAGGCTGGGCCAGGAAGGGGGTGGTGCAGGCTCCAGCTGTGCCCCAGGGCCGGCTGGGCAGGGGGCTGGTAAGCAGGAGGCAGCATTGGGTTCCTGGGGAGGGGGTTGGGTGGACATTTGAAAACGCTTTCAATTGACATCTGAGACAAATTCTTCCACACGGTTTATGAGTCCCTAGACTTGCCGCTAGAACTGCCCTCCTCTCTCCAGGCGCACACGCGCGCACTCCACCGTGTACGCAAGCACATGTGCTCGTGCACACGCATGGTCACACAGCTCCCGCACCCCTGGCCCGCCGCAGCACTCATGGGCCTGCCCTCCAGCGAGAGAGGGTGCACGGGCTGGGGCACCCTCCACCTCAGGGTCCTGGCCTGGGCTTGCTGTAGGGTCTGCCACCTTGTGGGGGCCTGGATCCCTCTGGAAGCCCTGCTCTGTCAAGGTAAGCTGGTTCCCTGTCGACAAAATGGGGGACTCCAATCACCTGTTTGAGGTGTTTAGGACAGCTTCTCCTGAGGGTTCCCGTGCTGTCTCTCAGCTTCATGAGAGCCGGAGGACCCCCTGATGGCTTTCCCAGAGCTGCTTGGGCTTCTACCAGCTCGGGGGATTTGGCTCCCAGTGGCCTTAGTGTCTTCAGTTAGGTTTGGCTTCTGCCTCTCTCTTGGGGACATCTTTGGGGGAGATCAGCTAGGAGGGGGTGGGAGCATCTGAGGAGGACTGAGGAAGTTCCCCTCTGAGGAAGTCCGGTGTCAGGGACCTGGTGACCAGGGGAGGGTACCCCACGGGTATGGGTACATGCTGTTGTATGCTTGGTGTGCTGAGGTCTGAGGAAGCTCTTCTCTAGAATGTTTCCTGAGCCTCAGGGTCCTGGACAGTTTCATCATGGGCTGCAGGACCTGGAAAACTTTCTGCTTTTTTGCTGACTCCATTTTCATAGAGGTAGGTCATACCACTGGTCTGCGGAGGAAGGAGTGCAGTGGGGGTCAGTGGTAAGAGCTGTAAGTGGACTCATTTAATCCACACAGCAACCTATGAGATTGGTAGTCCCATTTTAGAGATGAGGAAACCAAGGCATAGAGAGATCCAAGCAAGCTGGCCAAGGCAGCATGCTGTGTCAGTGATGGGGCCAGGCTGTGGACCATGGCAGGGAGGTTCTAGAATCCGTGCTCTACTCCTCAGGGCTCCTAGACTGACTTTCCCCGACACCCAGTTAGTGCGCACAGGCCCAGGCAAGGCATTCACAGGGATAAACACCTCTGCTAAACACACAGGAGGCATCCAGAGAGCGAGCAGCACTCCTGCTCTGCTACGAGTTGGTTTGAGGCCTGGGGGTTTCCATAGAGACATGACCCAGAGTAGGCATCTCATTGATCATGGAAGCAGCTGACAGGGACTTCCAGGTCTTCTGCTCTGGGCCCCTGTAATGCCCCCTCACCCCCACCCCAGAACTTTCGTTGTGTATGGATGACAGACAGGAGGGAAATTAAGGCAGCCTGGTTGGTGTTGAGATCCTCTCTCACATCCTGACCAGAGTCTCTGTGCTTTAGCTGCTCACAGCCACAGACTGACAACTGCAGGGGCTCAGAGGGAGCAGCTTGTGCAGCCCTTTCCTCGTAGAGGGGAAGGCTGACCACGGAGGGAAGCAACTTACCCAAGGTCACAAAGCTCTGACCAGTGCCGAGACCTCTTGCTAAAGGGGCAGTGCCTCTTAAGGCCTTCTGTCCCCTCGCCCACTCTGTGCCACCTCTCCTGGTGCTCTGTCCACGCCTCTGCGTCATCTCTCGGCTTCCCCCAGGAGGATGTTCCCCAGCTACAAGGTAAAAGTCACAGGCATGAACCCCAAGACCAAGTACATCCTGCTGATCGACATCGTCCCTGCGGATGACCACCGCTACAAGTTCTGTGACAACAAATGGTAAGAACCCGGGACCCTCACATCACCCGCCTTCCCACTCGCACACCCATCCCCATCTGACGTTTGGCCCAGGGACTTACCAGTTAGTCCCAGTGATTGGCCAGATCCGCAGCCTTGGGCGCCGGGCCTGCTGAGGCTACAGGGTCATCAAATGTTCGCACACCTGCTGCTGGTGGGGCAGGGGCTGCGGCTGAAAATGAGCTGCAGTGTTTGGGCTTTTGGTGGATTTCAAGGGTCTGTGCTCTCCCCACAGCTGTGGACGAACAGGGTGGGTGCCTGTGCTTTGGGATGACAGATGAGCCCCAGCACTGGGCAGGTTTAGGCTCTAGCAGTGCTGTGCTCAGGGAGGGGGGCAGAAGATGGAAGCCACTTTCCTTGGGGCCTTTGGTATTCCATAGTTGGGGCCCAGTTACCTGGGCTGTGGCATCTCTCTCCTGTTCCTCCACTCATTTGCTCTTTGGCCGCAGAGCCTTCCCTCTTATGCTGTGCCCCCCATCCAGAGAGAGCAGTCAGGTTGAAGGACGAAACCAAGCTGGGACTGGGTGAAAAAACGCTGGGCTGCTTTTCCTGAGGCCATCCCGTTAGTACCCTGTCTGCCCCCAGAGCCCAGGACAGCGCCCAGGGAGAGAGAGGGATGAATGAATCCACAGTCCGGGACGTGGGCTCAGCGGTGGATGAGTAATAGGGCTGCAGAGCCTGGAGCCGGGAGGCCAGATTCGGTGGTCAGGTCCTGCCAAGGGCTTGTCTCTGTTCTGTCTCTGGGCTGGAACAGCACTCAGAGCAGCTTCTGGCTCAGGGGACAGCTACCAGTTCGTTTCTTATGTTTGTTTTGGGGGCAAGCAATTTGAAAATTGTCTACATCTTCTGAGAAGCTACCTCCAAACTTATAACATTTAAAAATTGTAAATATAACACATACATGAAAGTGCCTAAATCTCCCCACAGCATACTTGTGATTAGCCCCATTCCTTCAAGTAAATCATCACATGTCTCTGTAATCTCACTTTCTCTTTCTTATTGCAGTGAAATACAGGAGGTTCAGAAACGCTCTCCCTCCCCAGCACTCTTTCCTCTGTCCCTCCCTCTTACCCCCAAAGCCCTAAATTGACAGTCTGATAGGACCATCGGTGATTTGTCTCTCAGGTCTCTGGGGATTTGCTCTCAGAGGGGACAGAGAATCTGGGCTCCCCCAGGCTGCAGGGCAATCAACTGCTCTGGCTTCTCCGTGCTCTGTTGGCAGGATGGTGGCAGGGAAGGCTGAGCCGGCCATGCCCGGAAGGCTCTACGTTCACCCGGATTCTCCTGCCACTGGGGCCCACTGGATGCGGCAGCTGGTCTCCTTCCAGAAGCTGAAGCTGACAAACAACCACCTGGACCCCTTCGGCCATGTAAGCATGGGACTGCCTGGCCTTGAGGGCGAGTCCTGGGGCAGTGTTGGGGATGGGCCGGTCCGGGGATCTGGGCTCTGGGCTCTGGAGAAGCCATTCTCGGGATCCAGCTCCAGGCCGGTTTGTGGAAGGAGCACAGGGTCTGAGTCCCACAGCAGAACATCCTTCCCCTAGCACTTACTGGCTGGGTAACTTTGGGCAAGTCTCTTAGCCTTTTTGCGCCTTGGTTTCCTTGTCTAGAGCACGGAGATGACCATGTGAGAATTAAATGAGAGATTACGCATGAGGTACTTTGTACCTAAGAGGCTCCAAATAAATGGCAACAACGACGATGATGGACCAAATCTCAGCTTCAGTTTCCCCAAATCTGGCCTTGCTGGAGCCTAAGACAAGTAAACCTTCTTGAGAAAGAGTCACTGATGGGTTCCGAAGCCTGTCTCTGGCGTGTACCGTCTGCCTGGCGCGGCAGCCACCTGCCCTGGAAGGGAAGGCCTCGCTCTGGCTTCTGTGTCAGCGCCTTCCTGGCCTTGCCCGGGACCTGGCTGTCACAAGAGAGGTTCTGGAGCCCCAGGGATCCTGCCGCTGATGCCCCATCCAGGCTGCTGAAGCTCATTCTTTCCCCCGTCTGTCCCTGGCAGGCCCACAAAAGCTTTTTATGTGGAAATTTTTAGCTCAAGTGTGTGGCAAACAGAAGCCTAGGGACCTGGTGTCATCTGCCAGGGAGCAGGCCTCGCCCCTCTAGGCTACCCATGGTTACCCTGGAAATGCAGGGCGTGGTGTGGTGGAGCGGGTGCTGTCGAGGCTCCTAGATGCAGTTGCCCCGGCTGCACCCATAACACTCATACTGTCCATGTGGATGGTGGTGGGGGAAGCAGGGGTGGGCGCTGTGCAGGCGTGTGCCTCTTTTGTGCCTCAGTTCTATTTCTGGGGAGCTGTGTGCAAATCAGAATTCTGTGAATCATAGTTCCTTATGGAAAGTGCCAGTGATGCTTCATTTCTGATTGATTGGTGTGTAACTGGCAAGCAGCTCTCAGTTCTCATTTTCTCAGAGTCTGTTCAGTTCTCTTCTGGGTCACTGGTGATCTATAAACCAGCAATTAGGAGAATGCTTCATTAACATAATAAACTCCTGACTTATCTGTTTTGCGAGCGGCATGGGCTTCCCCGTGCAGGGCAGGCAGATGCCGTTGGGTGTGTGACAGAGACCTGCAGGTGTGCATGGTGACGTGTACTCATGTAGCCCCAGCCTCTCCCAGGGGGCAGAGACAAGCCACCATCCAATGGGAAGGGTCAGCCAAGCCCCCACCTCTCAGAGCACAGGGTCTTTTAACCGAGGGCCAGAGGGGCCTCCCATTCTGGCCAAGACTTTGCTCCTGGTCAGCTCCTACCTGGCCTCCTCTGCTTGGCCAGGCTGTGGGATCAACCTCAAAAGGTTAGCGAGGGCCTCGATGGTGGGAAGTGGGAAGCCACATCTCTGCCCATGATTGCACACACACGCAGACCCCAGGGGACAGACCACTGGGGTGAACACAGAGCTTGGCGGAAGCTGGATCTTTGGGTAAGTGACCAGAAGTACCCAGGGAATCGAAGCTCTGGAGAATTTTGGATGCACAGCTTGCTATCATGGTTCCCAGCTGCAGGGATGCCTCTGAAGACTCCTCCACCTCCCTGGGCCCCTGCAGAATGTGGCAGGGGAGAGAGTCAGGTGGTTGAAAAGCTGGGATTTTTAGGAATCAGGAGACCTGGCCTTCATAGCCCAGCAGTAGGTTTCCCAGCCTGCCTTGTGTCTGGTGGCTCTACTGGAGTCCATAAGAGGTTTGCAATAACCCTGCATGTAGTCTTGAGTCTGGGCCAGTGGGGCTGCTTGTTGGGCTCGTGACATTGGAGGTGCCCCTGGCTACACTCGCCGTGCCTGCCTGGGGCTCTCCTCTCCTCGGCAGGAGGGACGTTCCCCATACTAACTCAGCTTCCTGCCTGGAGGGTTTGGGTGCAGAGCATCTTCCTTCTCCCCATCCCCGAATTTATCCAGCATTTGCAGTCTATTGGTTACAACACCCTTTGTGGGGTGGCAGGGCTCAGGGAGATGAGGTGCTTGTCTCAGGAGCTGGGAGTAAAGAAGCAGAGTGTGGACCCCCGCCTTCTGATGCCTAGTCCCGCGCTCCTTTGGCTTCTCCACCTGTCTTCCCGTACCCAGGGCTTGAGCTGTCAGGTCTTCAGCAATTTGGAGCATCACTGGAGAGGGAGCAGCCTTTGACCATGCAGGCAAGGGCTGTGGAGAATGAGCTAACTTCCTCGACATGTCAAGGCAAAGTGGCCCATTTGAACCTTGGCTTTCTGCTCCTTGGTCTGTGCCACCTGGAGTGGTGAGCTCTCCCAGTCGCCCTTCTTGGTGCAGGAGCCTGGGAAAGAGCCATCTTCTACTGAGAACTTGCCCCAGACAAGTCCTTCTGCACAGCTCACCTCCACACTTGCAATTTTTCTTAAAAGCTTCCAGACCTCAGGGAACTTTCTCCAGCCAAATGGACTGTGGACTTTCCCCTTGGGTCTCACAGTATCTCAGAGATTTTAGCAGCTGTCTCCCATTTACAGACTTCCCCCAGGAGAAGGGCCCAGAGTCCAGGAACCCCTCTGGCCACAGGGCCACATGCTCTGAAAAGACAGGGTTGGCTTCTGACTAGAAAACTCCTGTGGGTTTTTGCTGTGAGTCCAGGAAAGCCCTCTGTTCTTGAGGGGTGGGTTCAGGGTGTGACCCCTGGGTTCTGGGTGTAAGCCTAGGGGCAGAGGACGGGCAGGCGGAAGGGGCAGAAAGGATCAGGGGGCTGGGGCCGGGCTGGGCTGCTCCAGTTCAGCTCCACTGCTGTGGCTCCACTGGCTACAGAGGACGCCTGCCATCCTCCCCTCCTACTTGCCAACCCCTCCTACCCCTAGCAGGGTCCTGTGCCAGGTGACCACGTGATGGGAAGAGAAGCTGCTTCGGGAAATTGAAGAGGGCCTCACTGGGGTGGGGCCTGGGTCCTGCAGCGGGACATGGAGGTGGCTGGCACGTGGGTCTTACTTTTCTCCTGACCTGGAGGCAGGGAGGGGATGGCTGCAGTGAGGGGTGTGTGTGTGTGTGTGTGTGTGTGTGTGTGTGTGTGAAGGGGAATGGCCGTCTTCACCACCTCTTGTGTCTCAGGACTCCCAGATTGCCGAGGTAGAAGGTTAGCTTTTTTTTTTTTTTTTTTTTGCGGTACGCGGGCCTCTCACTGTTGCGACCTCTCCCCTTGCAGAGCCCAGGCTCCGGACGCACAGGCTCAGCGGCCATGGCTCACGGGCCCAGCCGCTCCGCGGCATGTGGGATCTTCCCGGACCGGGGCATGAACCCGTGTCCCCTGCATCGGCAGGCGGACCCCCAACCACTGCGCCACCAGGGAAGCCTGAAGATTAGCTTTTGATTTTGGGCATAGTAGGTCTCACTGTTCCAGAGGCAAAATTAGCCCCGGACTGGGGGTGTGGGCTCCCAGGCCACAAAGTGGCATATGCACCATCCCCTCAGTGTGTTTCCTTCTCCAGCCACAGGCCTCTTAGCCTAGTTCGTTACTGCTGAGCCTTGGAATCCAAGCTCAAATGCCACATCTTCAGGGAGACAGTTCAGGGTCCCCATTATATGCTCTCAGAGCACCATGCACCTTTCTGTCCAAGTACTTACCACAGTTATAATTTTATACTTATTTGTCAAATTTGTTTTTGAATAGGAAATACATTCACATGGTTTAAAAATCAATCAATGAATAAATAAAACACGTCTGCAATGAGACATTTCCGTCCCCTGGTTCCCCATCCACCTAGTTTTTTCCAGCTCTGGCCACAGGTAACCATTGTTACTAATTTCTTCTCAGTGTTTCTTTTTTGCACATGCAGGCAGAATACAGAGTCTCAAATCCCTTCTTTTCCACACAAAAGGTAACATGCTGTAAACACTTTGCACCTTGCTTTGTAAACTTAGTGTATCATGGAGATCATTCCAGTCACGTAGAGCTGCCTCATTCCTTTTCTTACAGCTGTATAGAATTTCATCACGTGATCGTTCCATTAATTATGTAGCCAGTCCTTATTGAAGGAATTAGATGTTTTCCTATATTTGCTCTTTTGATTAAACTTGTACATATGTCGTTTTATACCTATGGCAAGTATTCTTTCTGATAAATTGCCCGTTCAAGGGGTGCTTGGATTTGCAATTTGTAATTCTGCCCTCCACTGGAGTCCCAGTGATGTGTATTCCCACCATCACTGTAGCCTCACGAACATGGTGGGAGAGAAAGGTTTGGATCTTTGCCAGTTTGATGGGTGAAATATAGATGTCAGTTTTAGTTTCAATTTATATTTCCTTTATTATGAGTGAGATTAAGCATTTTTGTGTGTGTGTGTGTGTGTGTGGTAAGTGGGCCTCTCACTGCTGTGGCCTCTCCCATTGCGGAGCACAGGCTCCGGACGCGCAGGCTCAGCGGCCATGGCTCACGGGCCCAGCCGCTCCGCGGCATGTGGGATCCTCCCGGACTGGGGCACGAACCCGCGTCCCCTGCATCGGCAGGCGGACTCCCAACCACTGCGCCACCAGGGAAGCTCCTAAGCATCTTTTTTATATGTATCTCCTCTTTGGTCCTTATCCTTTGCTCGTTTTTCTCTTAGATTTTTTTTTCAATCACCTATCCATTCTAGGAGCTTTTATAAATTAGGAAGATTTCGCTCCTACTCTGGGATGTCGAATTGCTTATATGTTTTCCCCGTTTGTCACTTGTCTTTTGGTTTGGCCTATAGCGGTATTCCTACACAGAAGTTTTTGATTGAATGTGTTGGTCTTTTCTCTGTGGGTTCTGGATTTTGAGTAATTGAAAGCCCCTCTCCACTCTTTACTTATAAGGGAGTTTGCTTGTGTTTTCTTCTAGTATTTTACAGAATTATTATTACACTTTAACCATTGATCCTTTTGGAATTTATTCTGGCATTCTATATGAGGTGTG